AAAGGAAAGAAAAGGAAATTATTATTGGAAACTTAGACATAAAGCCAAAAGTGAAAGGTTGAGAAGAAAAGCATTAAGCATGTTCCGTGTACAATAATGTGTGCCGAAGAAACCACAACCCCTCTTCATGGAAACTCTGATTGATTCCAAAATGTGCAGTACTTCACTTACTACTATGCTTTGAACCAGAATCTTCCGGGAAGAACGCTGATTATATGTTTCGTTCATAAGTTTGAACATAAATTTAAATTTTTATAAGAACAAAAACGTTATAGTAAAAAATGTTTGAATTGCGATTTAAAGCTATTAAAAAAAACTATAAAATGAATAAAAGCAGTTCAAGAAAATTCTTCTTTCTTTATCAGAAATTATCTTTGTGAAAGTATATGTAAATTTAAGGAATGAGATTTGAGGTCTTTCCTTGAAGCTTCCGAGCATGAAAAAAAAAAAGGTGGTAATGAAAAGCATAAATATTAACTTGCAGCTTTAAAAATCAAGTTGTCGCATTGTAGACCTACAGAAAACCAAGAAATAAAAAAAAAAAAAAAAAAGGCAGTTAAATTTTATACCAACGTGAAACCAACTTTATGGATTCTTACTATACCATTGAACTTCTTAAAGCCAATATTGCAGTTTGTATGCATCTCTTGCAGAGTAATTAAAGTGAAGTTCTTCCACGTGACACCGCAAGTTTACCAAAAATATGTTAGAGAGATTGTAATATATTTCTCAATTTCGATATCACAAAAATTGACCTAAAACACATTCGGGAAGAACAGGCGCGCTGCAGCGCACGAACGCACTGCAGCGCGCACAAAACAGACCTCTCGGGTCTGTTTTGTAATGCCCGAGCGCTACAGCGCACAGCAGCGTGCGCTGCAGCGCGCCTCTTGGACGCTGCAGCCTGCACAAAACAGACCTCTCGGGTCTGTTTTGTGAAGCCCAAGCGCTACAGCGTGAATGTCATCCGCTACAGCGCAAATTGCTACCAAAAAACGTGTTTCGTGTGTTTTAGTGATCTGAAAAGGTCTTGAACCATTGCATCCATTTGTGATATGTTTTCTCACATATCTAAGTACTTATTAACAATAGAAATAACTATTGTTATAAGTGCATCAGCATATAAAAGATAACCTTCAAATTGGAAAAGATATCTTTATGTGAAATGTTGTAACGTTTAAAGAGGATGGATGCATCCCTGTCTTTAATTAATGCATTCAGAAAATACAGATATTATTATTGTTCTGGAACTCAATATTTTTGCTGGATATTGTGTTCAAGGGTTTGTTGTATCTTAAGGGTAATTTGCCATTAAAACTCATTAGCAAACTTTGAGAAGTGAGGGCAAATAAAACCTTAAAGGAAAGTATTCCTATACGCCTCAAACCCTCTTCTTACTTTCTATATTCTTTTCATCCTCCCAAATCTGAATTTCTCTTACAATCTTTAAGGTTTTAAGCATAATAATGCGGATAAATGCATATACTCTAAATTTACAAATAGTTTTGGTGTGATAATATGCTTATATGTTGATGACTTGCTTATCTTTGGAACAAACATGCAAGGGGTAAATGATACCAAGAAATATCTAACTTCACAATTTAAGATGAAAGATCTTGGTGAGGTAGATACTATCTTAGGTGTAAAAGTGAGGACTATCTTAGGTGTAAGAGTGAGGAAGCATAGTGGGGGTTACTCATTGTGTCAATCTCATTATATTGAGAAGGTGCTTCTTAAATTCAATCATTTAAAGTTTAAATAAGCAAATACCCCATATGATTCTAGTATTAAATTACTAGAAAATGCAAGCAGAGCGGTGGCACAGCTTGAATATGCTAGTGCAATTGATAGCTTAATGTATGCTATGCATTGTACAAGACCTGACATAGCATTTGCAGTATGCAAAATGTCGAGGTTCACGAGTAACCCGGGTATTGAACATTAGAATGCAATTAGAAGAGTACTTGGTTATCTTAAAAGAACCATTAACTTAGGTTTGTCATATAATGACTATCCGACCGTACTTGAAGGGTACTCGGATGCAAGTTGGATAACAAGTGCAAGTGATAATAAATCCACATCCGGTTGGATTTTCACAATTGCAGGAGGAGCCATCTCTTGGACTTCTAAGAAACAAACGTGCATAACTCACTCTACGATGGAGAGTGAGTTTATAGCACTTGCCGCTACAGGCAAAGAAGCGGAATGGCTAAGAAATCTATTGCTTGATATTTATTGAGTTGTGGCAACAACCTATGCCATCTATTTCTTTGTACTGTGATGGTGAAGCTACTTTGTCTAGAGCTTATAACAAAGTTTACAATGGAAAATCTAGATATATTAGCTTGAGACATGAATATGTTAAACAATTAATAACCGATGGTGTTATTAATATTGTTTATGTTAGGATAAACAAGCCTAGCGGATCCTTTGACGAAAGGTCTTTCAAGAGACTTAGTCAAAGAAACATCTAATGGAATGAGACTAAAACCTTTCTTTGAAAGAGTCACCAATGATGGTAACCCAACTATGTAATAGTTGTACCGCTATTTTATAGTTAAATGGGTAAGAATAAATTATTGTTATGTGACCGGGTTAGCGCCGAACTTTAATTAGTTTCTTCCAAGATATCGGTGCAAAAATAGCTACGTGGTTGAGGTTGAGTTTATACTCTTAATGGATTCGAGTCTCATAGTAGCTAAGAGATATAATT